TGGTTAACGCAATCGTTGAAATCTTACAATTTTTCAAACAGCTTTTAGCATTTCTGGAAAAGGTTCTGCTGGTATTAGTTGCTCGAAACCAATGATTTACCCAGACAGTGCGGATATTACAACCATATTTTTCAGTTAGACCTGGAAAACCGTTTTAAAAGCGCGAAAATAATTGTATGCCATTATTTACCAGTGCATATTTCCGTACACAACATTTACATTCTTACAGCTCATTTACGATATACAATCAGTCCCATAAGTATTCGTACACTCTACTGAAGGAATTTACCTAAATTAAATGGTAGATTTTATGTTTCCAAATAAATGCGTCATTATAAGTATGTACATATTAGGTTGTCCCAAAAGTTTCTTTCGTGAGTTGTATTCAATTATTTTCTGTGGCAGTGTTTATATAAATAGACAATCTAATTTCTTAGACATTGATGCTGTAAACAGTAATGAAGCGAAATGAATCGCACACAATTCAGTAATGTAACATAAAATATAAAATATTGTGTATTAATTAATTATTAATAAAACGAAAGAAACTTTCGGGACGATCTAATACATGAATCAATTTTATGTTGTATATATTTATATTTTATTTAGCGACATCGTTTAATTTAGACAAATTTCATACTTATATTAGGCAAAATTTAAAAAAGAATCCTTTCGACTATGAAGATCTTAATTGGACGAACAAGAACTTGTCCAAAGTAACCGTTTTTAAAATAAGGCGTCGGGGCCACGTTGCTTCCGTTATGAATCACTGGGCTTGTCGAAAGATCACCAACGCCGAAGCAATTTCGGGTTCGACCGCTTGGTTTCGAGGCACGTAGACTCAACACGCGATAGGATCGTCACGCGCGCGGTGTCATTGCCTGATCATGAGAAAATAGTCGAACGGCATAGTATATCCGTAATTGACCATCAAGTAGCTACACACATATATACGAACGGACACGCACCGATTCCATGGGCGATGCGACTCATGGACAGTAGGCGTTTCCAGCGTCGTTATAAATCAGAGCTAAACACGCTAATTATATCGGGACGTAGACTCGGCCAACTGAACACAGTGATTCGCCAGGGGTAGCCAGTGGCTCTCAATCCGCGGACCCGTTATCATTTCCGTTTCGGTTCGTTGCCCACGTACAAACCGCGTTTCACGGTTTGAGCTCGGTTTCGATAACGTGTTCGCGACTTTTTGCGAGAAAAAATTATTCGATAACACCCACCAGAGCGTTTCGACGGTTCTCTATTTTCTCTACACAGGCGTAACTATAAATTCAGATGGGAGGTGCAACTGAAAATTGACAGAGACGATGTTGTTGGAAAAAATACAGAAACGCATCGAGGTTTGATTTGTACACTTGCACATTAGAAAAGTTTAATGGTTAATGGATATCTGTATCAGGAGGGATGGTCCCTGGGATGCGTCACTGGTCGAACGAAAACCAGTTCACGCTTCATTCCATACCGTGCGAGAATGAACGTTATACGAGGAAAGAAGGATTGCTGTTGTCGAATCCGAGGGGATAGAGCAAGACGAGGGATAGGGGGGATTACGGATAAGGGAAGAATAGAACGATTTAAGCGTCAAGCACCGTGTTCGAGGAGAGAAACGAATGGTCAAGGAAATACGTGTATGTCGACGACTTCGTCGCCTGAATTTAATGTCGAGTATGGGCAAATAATGGCACGTTTCAACGATACGGCCTAACAAACGAACGAACGTTATGCGGATGACGAATGGGACTCAACGATCGTTTGGCGACACCACCATTCTTGGCTCGTACTCCGCTTGCCTCTTTCTCGCTCGTACAGGTTGGAGATGAGTACAATTTTATTCGAACAATGTAGTCATTCATTCGCAACGTTTATTCGATGGGGCAGTTAAATTTCCATTTGTTCATTGTGAAATATTTCATTCTGTAATTCGAAGACTAGTGTTTATTTAACCAGGAACGAATAGACAGTCGTTTATTCGTTATTTGTTTATCCGAATACAAATGTTGTCTCTGGTATATACATAACTATCTACTTATCTACATAATGGTAGATAAGTTTCATCGTCGTGTACTAAATCATCTAAAGAGAAACGGAAAATTAGTTGCGTGAATTCGAGAGTAAATTAAAGTAAACGTTAACAATGGTTATTTAAAACGCAGTTGTCGCCAAAAATAATGCGTAATGCAAACGACGAAGTTAATAGGAACGAACTAATGCTTCTTGTTTCTAATCTAATCTAAAATTAGACGTATTCGTAAACATTTTCTCTATCGCTGTTTTATGCAAAATATGTATTATTTCTTGTCGCGATAGTTGCACAGGCATTTAATGCTAATTATATAAAAACGACACGAACGATGTCTGTGAACATCAGGTAACCATTTGAGGAAACATTTCGACATGGCAGAATCGTTGAAGAAACTTTTTTGTTTGTGCAAGCGTACACATAGTACGAATTTAAATAAACTGTGCTCGCAAATACGAAAATACAAATGCCAGTAATATTTTATTCCGCCATGCTAATTGTGTAGTCATATGTCTATACCGGGAGTGTAAGGGTTAAGGCGCGCAAGAACGTCGAGAGTCGCTTATAGCCTCGACACTCTTAAAGTTACGTACCTATAGAAATATCTGCCGCAATCGATCGAAAGAGCGTTGAAAGTAGAAATTGGTGTCAAATAAGGTGGTTAAATAAGAGTATCTAGTTTGAAAGAAGTATGCTATAAACAGTTTGTTGAGACACTGTAACTACCGCTTACTTATTATGTGGTAATCGATAGCAGTACCGAGGACACAGTAAACGTTTAACATTACAGAGCAATTTTCGTTCAACTTGTCAACTATGATAGAAAATCGAAGCATTTCTCCTGGATTTTTTATTTGAAAAATATCACGTTATATATTCCGAAGACGACTACATCAGCGCATCGCGAACGAGCTTCTTCGATTTGCATCGCAATGCGCTTTGGTACTTTGATCTCCAAAGTTATAAAAACGGGCGTTCGATGTTGGCACGAATTCAATCCAGCGCGTTGAAAAATAATCCTACATCCGCAAAGAGAGGCGGGTTAGAACGCGTAGCTACCGTTGATGGTTCCAAGGAAATTCGCAACGGAAAGAAAATCTTTTTGGTGTTCAACCGAAACATTGATCCCTCGAGTGATTACAGTCCGTGTAGCTTGACTTTTTCCTCGTTTGCAATCACGATCACTGTTTGTCATTATTGGAGACATTGGATTAACCGCGATCGTTATTGAGCGTTTTATAAATATTAGTAGAACGATAGCAATAAACGGTAGTCCCTCGATAATAGCCGGTCGAGTTAAATTTATCTACCGCAGGCCGACTGAGCTTCGGTAAATATTATCGTTGCTATCGGTAAACAACGATGTTATCGCGACAACTGGTTATGCGGGCTTCCCGAACTTCCAAAACGTGGAACGCTTAACGATGCGATGGACGTCGCAACGTCGAGGATGGGGAATAGCGCGAACACGATTACGCGTTCGACTCGCGTCGATAATAGCGAAGGACACTTGAACCAAGACGGTGTTGTCGATGATCGGCAGGTCTCGTAGCTTCGATTCTTGATCGGTCCCTCTGTTACGTTTCTTTGCCTCGAATCGAAGAAACTCATTAATTAATCGTTATTACAAAATGAATGTCTAGTATCTTTCAAGATCCTTCCATCAAGATTGCAATAGACGCCTCAATGACCATTAACACGATTCACCTTTACTCCAAGCCTCCTGTTCCCCACTTTTACGCGGTTCAGTTTAAACAAAAGATTCTCTGCTCCATCCCAACGTTCCTGCTCCGCATATCGATAACCTGCGATCCCAATTTTCGACCATTACACGAGGCGCTGTATATAATAGAGTTCTCGCGGTTCAACGATCACAGTGCACCTCGCCTAGAAAGGAAACATGCTTTCGTCATTCCGCTTTCCACGATCGTTCAATTATTCAAGGGGGGCTATCTTGTCTTTGGTCCGTGCGCCAGTCACGACGGACAAGTGTAATGGAATATTAACTTGTCGTAATTTGAATTCAATCCGACGCGGCGGTATCGTCGTAACCCGGATCTACAAGTTGGAGATTCTGACTGATTGCGACGTAGAGGGATGAAGAGGGTCGCGAGGGAACAAAGCAGGCCGCGGAGAAGCCATTATACATTTATTTATTTCGATAAACGAAAATGAACCTTTGGTAGGCACGAGTAACTTAAAATATTTGTATTATTATCGATACCCATCCTGTTTGGCCGATTCTTGAAATATTCCATTAAACTCGATCTCAAAACACGCGGAGAACTCGTAGCTATCGGACTCGTTATCTGAAAATCTCCAAAAACGATTTTTTGCCGATTTTGAGACTCGACTATCTCCCTAGGGATTCGCGTGTTATTCCAAGCGACGGAAGGACGCGATCGTGGAGAATCGATCTCGTTTAATAGCATAGTTGGAAGAGGAGAAAGCGTGAAAAGCCACCGGGAGGGGACGAACGTTAAATAGTTTAGTCTTTCTCACGCGGTTGACGCCGTCTACGACGTCGACGCCGACACCGACGCGATTGGACCAGGGCCAAATGCCACCGGTAAAATTAATCGTTCCCTGACACGAATTCCCCTCTAAGTGGGAATACCAATTTGTAGTCGAGGAATAGCGATTCGATGGGACTGGTAGCTAACAGTTAATATTCGATTGGATGGAGAGGAGACAGGCGTTGGAAGGTTGTTTCTAGCTTCACGATTCTAATGATGCCTCTTCTCAATCATTGTTAACGGTACAAAGTATGATTCGATGATAGGACTGCAAGAAGATGCCGGGTCACTATTGACCCACAGGGAAATTACAGATGCTACGTTAAAGTTTATCTTCTGAATTTTGTCTGAATAATTTAAGCCGCATTTCCGAACCATTGTTTTCGAATAAAGCGGAACGATCGGACGTTGCAACGCGGCTGAAAGGTGGTGTCTTCTGATTGCAGGTCGAAACTACGGCGACGAGCAGAGGTACCGTCGTCGTTTTAGCGTCAAGTCGGAAGGAGAAACCGCGTTTGGTGGCTGGCGCTTCGTGAAAGGACCGAGGGAGGATCTAGGAGACGGAATCACGGAATTGCTATGTTGGTCTCGCTCCCAGGGAAGCATCACGTGGATATCTAGAAAGGAATCGGTGATTGGCAGTGCGCGAGTGTCCGCGGAAGGGTTGGCAACGACGAACGACGAGAAACGGTAGTGATCGGTGGTGCAAAAGGTGTCGTCGAGCGGACAGAAGAAGAAGACGAAAAGACGGAGGCGTCGGAGGAGGAAGAGGAGGCGGAGACACGACGATATAAGGAACTGGATCGCGGCTCAGCTCGAGGCGGAACAGTAGAGGATACGAGTGGAAGAGGTACGCGCGTTGGCGGAAGTCGAGGGAAGGATCGGTCCCGATAGCAAAGAAAAAGGGCGGATTTCCAGGATTCTATCGCGAATATATCGTCGGTGGAGGGCAGCCGCGAGACAGTAAGTGATGTGTTCGATGGACGAGGCGCGTCTCGCGGGCGGTGGTCGGGGTAAAACGGACGCGTGTCGCGCGTGGTGCGATTGCTTGAAATCGGTGAGAACAGGCGGGAAGTCGGTGATCAGGCTGGCGGGCGCCGGGGAAACGTTTCAAAGGGCATGGCGACCACGCCACTAGGCGGTCGCCTCCCTAACGTAAACCGCAAAGGACCATCTCCGTTCGTCGGTGGTGGTGGTGGCAACAGCGTTAATTACGGTAACGGCAACAACAGTAACAGCGGCAACAGCGGCGGCAACAACAACACCGGCGGCAGCAGCAGCCATAACAACAACAATAATCACAGCAGCAAGAACAACAATCACAACAACAACAACAACAACAACAACAACAACGTTGGCCATCGTAACAACAACGTAAGCGGTGGAAACAACGAGAACCGGCCTGTCGACGGCTGCGTGAAAGCCGGCGCGATCGAGTGCAGCGGTAACAACAACAGCAAGCACGGTAACGATCTCGGTAATAACAGCAGCGGTAGCAACAACAGTAACAACAATAATCAGAGCAACGGCAGCGGCAAGCACAACGGCGGACAAGTCGGTGGTAACGAGGGTGGAGGAGGAGGAGGTGGTGGGGCTCGACAGACGTCGAGGAAGCAGGAACGCGGGCAACTAGGAAGGGAACATCGCGAGCATCGGCATCATCACCATCACCATCATCATCACCACCATCATCACCATCATCATCACCATCAAGGTCGGGACAGGTCCTCGTCGTCGTCGTCGTCGTCGTCGTCATCGGGTCGGCAGCGCGATACTAAATCAAGCACGGTGGCTGCAAACACCGATGAGCTGGATCCGGCCGCGACGAATGCGACCAACAACTTTGAGTACGACGACAACGAATGGGACATCGGAATAGGGGATTTGATAATCGACCTTGATGCGGACATTGAGAAGACGAGGGACGAGAAATTGAGCTCAGGGACAGGCATGGCTTCTACGCCTGCCTCGGCAGCATCGGCTTCGAATACCACGAATCATCATCACCATCATCACCATCATCAGCTTCAAAATTCCGCGAACGGTTTAAGCTCCTCGAACTTGTCTTCGTCGGTCGCGTCAGCTGGTCCGAACGGTTGCGGACAATCGTCCAACTCGTCGTCGTCGTTGTCTTCGTCTTCGTCATCGTCTTCGTCGTCGTCGTCCTCCTCGTCCTCATCTTCGTCGACGTCCTCCACGTCGTCTTCCTGCTGCCTGAACTCGTCCGGACGTTCAAACAGCCCCGGGAACGGGAACGGAAGCGTTGTAAGTAGCGCCGGTGGTAACGGTACCGGGAACGCGAACGGTTCCTCGTCGATCGTTACGGGGACGGGTAACAAACAGAGCAACGCCGTCGTGGGTGGCGTTAACGCCGCGCACGGGAATCCCGGTAATCCCGGCAAAATGGCCGTAGAACACTCGGCCACCGTCGACAAAGGCCTCAAAATGAAGATCAAACGTACGAAACCGGGCACCAAGAGCAGCGAGGCCAAACACGAGATCGTTAAGTCGAACGAAATGAACGGGACGGTGTCGTCGCAAGAGTCCGGTAACGGAGGCGGTATGGTTACCTCGAGCGGTTCCTCGTCCGCCACGGGGGGCTCGAATTCCGCGTCGAGCGGCTCGGGGATCGGACAGAACGCTCAAAACACGGATTGCACCGCGGGAACTGGTGGCAGCGGTGGTGGTGTTGGTGTCGGTGGTAGTGGTAGTAGCGTCGGCGGTGGGATTGGCGGCGGCGGTTCCGGTGGTTGCGGTACCGGTGCCGGTAGCGGCGGAACCGGCGGCGTCGGCGGTCCCGGACCCGGCGGCGGCGTACCCGGTGGTGTTGGAAGTGCTGGTGGTAGTGGCAGTGGTGCCGGTGGTCAGTCCTCGTCATCGAACAAATCGAAACCGAGTCATTCGACGGGTTCCGCCGGCGGGACCGGAAGCGCGACCTCTTCGACCGCTGGCTCCAAGAGGGGTTCGAGCGGACATCGTCGGGACAAGGCGAGGGACAAGCACGAGAAACCCCAGAGCAACCACGCGTCGCAGCAGCAGAACAAACCGGAAATGAATGGAACAGCGCGACCTAGCGGCGCTGGCGCTACCAGCGGACAAAGTCAAACCTCGAGCGGACCAGGACCAGGCCCAGGACCAGGGCCAGGACCTGGATTTGGCGCTGGGAGCGGAGCAGGGGCGGCCGCGCAATCTCAGGGACCGACGGCGGCCGCGACCGCCCCCCAACAGAGTCAGGGACCACCGCCCAGCTCGAGGACAGGATTCTCCGTTTCTCAGGGGCCCAATCCGCCGTCCAGCTCAGCTGCGGCACCCTGTCCGCCCCCAAGTCCGGCTAGCGCCACCGCCGTCGGACCGGCCGCGAAACCCGAGCAAACCAAACTCGCCGCGGTACCCGGTAACGGACCTGCGATCACCACGACGACAGACGACGCTATGGATACCGCGGCCAGTCCTCCGCCTCCCAAGAAACTGAAGACTTCCGCTTCCGAACCAAAGGTAACGCTTCGCAGAACCCTTCCAACATCGAATGCTTCGCTATCGTACCGATCAATCTGTCCTCGGGTTTTCGTTTGCGCTCGCCAGACTGATCCACTCGTCGTTCGGGTAACGTATCGGATATCGATAGAGTTCGTTGCTCCGTTTCGCGATTCGAAGTCATCTTTTGGCTTGTCGGCCAGAGTTGAGCAGATTTTATTCCGAACAAAGAATACAAGTTCCAGATTCTATCTGTCTGTATGGGAGTGGTTCTTACGATTGAATCTGGAACTTTTTTCTATGGTTAGAATACAGTTCTCCAACTCTGAATTGATCAACTGTTGTTAAAGCAAAACTGGGCTGACCGAATTTTCGAGCGGTGCCACACGTGCCAACTACTAATGCAAACGTTAGAGATCGTATCTTCCTTGATAAACCAATCAAAAATTAAAAGAGTTGTTTCGTAGAAAATGTTTCCGATAAGCTTAACGCATAGTCTTTTAATTTTTGATTCTTACACTTCTAATTCGCATTCCGCCAGCAATACTAACGCTTCGGGCAACTAATTAAACTAAGAATTAAGGCTCAAGCTTCGAGAAAAAAAGTTGATAAATTCCACGAAGCACTACTGTACTAAGGTTTTGGGTCTCCCTTATCATAAAAATATCTGATCAAATCCTGTATCGAGAGGGATCGAGGTATTTAAAGAAATAGGTAGTCGGGAAGGAAAGCCTCGTTCTCACCGAGCGGTGATCCTATATCCGTGTTCCTCGCTTAATCGAGTGTCAAACGGTTGGCTCGTTTTTTCGACGTGTCGGGTTTAACACGGATGCGAACGGGAAGGGAAGACGCGCAGATCGGCGCGGGCGGGAACGGGTCGGTTGGTCTGGGTCAGGTCTGGGTTAGATGGGTGTCTTTGGTGTCTTTGGTGTCGTCGCCAGTGGTTCGGACGAAATTGGGATGGTCGAGGACGCGGGGGTGGCTGATACGAGTTGGAGTCGAGGCTCGGGACTAGGGGCTGTTGGCTTGGAGGACGGAAGCGGCTGGGGGTACGCGAAGGGGGTGAAATCAATACTCTGCGGTCTCCGCCCCCGAGAGTACACGGACGAATACATAGAAACAAACACGAGTGCCGGCGAGACACCATAGTCGACCGCCTGGCCGGTCGGCTGTGGAACTGCGGAATCGCTACCGCTCGCGATCTTACCTTTTCTTTCCTCTTGGCTTCTTCTGTCACCCGTTCGTGTTCGTTTCCCGTATCTTCTTTGCTCGAGAATTCCAAAATGGCTCGGCTTCTTTGCTACAACCCCGCGAACGCTGGCGCCGCGATCCTCGAGCTCACCAACGTGTGGAAGCCGCGTCGATATCGGAGCTAGAATTTTTCCGTTTTCGAATAACCGCCGAACACGAGTCAAATATCGAACTACGCTGCAATTTAGAATCTTACTCTTCTAATTCTGCGTGCACATATTTTTCACGGTTAATTGGAATACCGACCGTTATCGGGGTACTCGGTTACGACCGACGCATTTTCACGAAAATTGTTCGGTGTTTCATAATTATATGGGTATCTATAATTTTCATAATTTAATATGACCGATGGGTCCGTAATTGCTGCAAGAATGCGAAGCCATTTACTTGAAAGCCGTGGTGGGAAGCTTTTAATACTTTACAAAATTTATTACCGAGGTTCTCTAATACTTGTTTTGGGGTATAATTATTGACTGAATTGTAATTGCTTTCAACGTTTCGACCATATTAGTCGCTGACCCTCTTCGGGCACAATACGTTCGGCGTTAAATGTGTAACTGTATCCCATTGTACTGTATTCATTGTCTTCTTTGAGCGGCCAGTTCCGACGGAAAATTCTCTACCCATGCTCCGCATATTGATCTCTCTTTCCTATCATTACTCGTCCTGCTTTCGTTCTCTCGCGCCTAGTCAAACTCTTTACATCCAAAAGAGAAAAAAAAAACAGAGAATGCCAGGGAAATTATTTTGCAGCCCCCTTTCCTAATTAAACTAAAAACTTCGGGTTCCCATTAAAATTCATCGAATCTCGTTTCTTTCCTGCTGGACTGTATCGAAAATTGAGTCCCTCGCCAAAGCTGTTTTATGACAATAAAACTCGTTTTTCTTCCCTCACCTTTCGCTTCATCCCCCAGCACTCTGTCCCAGGTTTCATCCCCTGGAACTCTGTCCCTCAGCGAGTGCGTTACGTCGAAACTCGTTGCAGTGCACTGACAGATGGCGCGAAGCCCCGCATAAATCAATATTCCTACAGTATATATAATATTATGTTTCCACGATGCCTGTTTGTCCGTGCGTGCTCGTTGCGTTATCTACGCGTTTCTACTCGTTGGTCAAATACGGTAATGCCTCGCAGAATGTCCCGATTTTTCCCTCGCATTATGTCCCCGCACTTATTCTCATCATTCGACTGTATTTCATTCGCCCATCGTATTTGCCAATCTTTAACCGTGTGTTGTTTTCGTTCAGAAATTGGCAGCATTTTGTCAAGCAATTGGTCCACGAATGGAACTCGCGGTAAATCGTAAAGTTGTTCAAGGCATTATTTTGGGGTGAAATTGTATAGATTAATCGTTTGTCAAAAAGACCTACTAAAAACCTACTCTCCACAGTTTCAACACCTTGGATGGCTTCACCTCTTAGAATTCTTTTTTAACAATTTTTAACAATTTTCTCTGTAGTATTGCTCCATAAATCTCGACGCGTTCTAGATTCAGGACATTAGGCGAGCCGATTGCTCTACTCTGCCCCGAGTAAACGATCAGCGATTGGTCCGAGGGATGAAAAATCATGGAAACGGTGGGAAATGATTTGAACGAATCTAAGAAGCGAGTAACGGCGCAATAAAAGCGACGATTCGTGTGGTATCGTTTAGCTCCCGTCTGGAATAGCCGAATGCACAATATATTGCACGCGACGCGACCTAACTGCGCGCACGCTTGTAATTGTCGCGACTGAATCGAGGCAGTTGTTGTAAATAATGAAATCGTATTTTTGCATTAAATTCAAAGAACCCCGGCGAGGGGAAAAAACCCCGCAGCAATGGCGCGTCGCGGAAGCGGTAATTACTGTTGCACGAGCCAACGATAATTGTTCTTTGTATCCGTCATCGCTGATTCCATTCCCACGTTTCTCCGCGGTACTTTCGCGATTTCTTCGAATTTTACCATTCGTCCGTCCCTTTTTGATTGTGAACGCTTTAGTCTTTCCTTACTCTTGTACCTGTTATTGAATAGAAGGGGGACGGAAAGGTTACCATTTTTGGTGGTTTAAATTTCTTAAAATTTCAGCATCAGATGCTCTTAGAAACTTTTATTTATTTATTTTGCCGACTCACTCGTGATCTAAACGCAAGGCGTGCAAGTCGTGGGGGTGACTCCACCTCAACATGATGGACACCCCTCTATATTTAATGAACCCATAGTTACAAGTTTAATTAACACCTAAAGATGGACTTCTGGTACTGTTCGGCTATCACGGACTTCGTTGAACGCGCGTCTGCTCGAATAGAATTCGAATTAGGACGTTTTCCGTTATTCTCGCAAACAACGGTAATCTTTTTCCGATAACTGTCGGCCGGCGTTGCGCCTAGATCGTCGCGTAGGTGCATAAAAGTACGAATAGGATAAAGTAACGGACGCCCAGCGAGTAAATGCCGGGTAATCGGCAGACTGAAGCAGCGCGTAGGCCGATTAGCGGTTTAAGCGCGGAAATATAAGCGGCTGTATCGTTTGACGGTCGAGTGGCGATAAGAGGACATGGAAGGGAGTAATGGCTGGCCTAGGGAATTACGCTGAGGCTTCGGAGTAGGAGGAAGAACCTTTGGAGGGGATGGAATCGGTATGCGACGAATAGTAGAGGACAAGAGTCGAAGTCGAAGTCACGTCTGCCAACGATGTCTCGCACGAGTCGGAACTTTGGCTTCGACGGTCTCTTCTCACCTTCGTGAAACGATTTAGATTGACATAACTCGAATGATAATGGAATCCCTCGATATCGATCAGCTGGCGTTGATTAGTCAAGGTCCAACACGTCAATAGTCGTATTTAAAGGGATAAGTCATCCAGGCGAATCTTCATGAATTCTTCGATAGCATCTGATTGAAATCAATTTCGTTGAATGGAACGTAGGGTATGAGTTTGAAAAAGAAATGTTAACTTTTTTTTTTTTTTTTTAATCTGTTGGCAATGGCTTCATGAATTTATGATGAGAGATAAGGAAATTACACATATCAACGTCCTTCGGTGCGGGAAAATATTTTCAAAACACTCGTTTCGAAAACAAGTTCAACTTTCATTATCAAAAAAGGAGCGTAGTATTTATCTAAGGATTTTATACCCCGTTACAAATGCAAACTTTTAAAAGTTTTTCAATGTTCCTACAACTGCGAGGTATCAATACCCGTCCATATCGCGTTGACTGAAATTTTATGCTATCCAGCGAAATAATTGCCAAGCGTTAACAATTAATCGCGATGACTAATTATACGCTCGATAATCATAAGGATTACGTCGTGGCCAACGCTGCCGTCTTGCCAGGTGATCGACCGTCTCGTGGGATCATGGCACCGGGCGTGATCTACCCCAGCGTTGGCACCTGTAGTTTGTCGCTTTCGTTGAAGCAGATTGCCAACAAACGCCAGCTTTTCTTCGAATTGGCTGGCTTAACTGCAGCTCTAGTTAGAAAGAGTTTGCAGCGTAGAAGACTTCCTAGATAAACATATATTAACGTAGACCGACGTTAACCTGTATTAGAAGGTATGCGAATCTTTCACAGAAAGCCAGCTGCACTATCCAGAGACTTTTGTTTTTATTTATTTACTTGAATGAACGGAAATAACCCATTATCACGATGGTTAGGTCTGGGTTGTAGTAGTTGAGGTTATTAACGTGACATTGTCCCAGTTCTTGCAAATTTTGCGGTTTAGTTAAATTCTTTATGGCTTCTACTCCGTTATGAGTGATTTTATTATTTAAATTAAATGGTAGGTTTGATGCTTTCAAGTGTATACATATTATATACATGCTTATTCATATACATATTTGTAACGAAAAGTTCATTTGGTAATATCAAGAATAAATTTTGTTGTCCATAATAGAAGTTCTCCGTATTAATTAAGTAGACATTGAGATTAGACAGCGTATGAATGGCCAAGCCTATGGCCAGGTAGCTAAAATATTTAGAACGTCCTCGCACCTCGTCGTCTTGGTTCTCCACGCGTCTCGAGGGTTTTCCGCGTTGACAAACCGCGCGATCCGTCGTTGGATCGATCCACGGAAACGCAGCCAAGACGCGGAGGATCTTATCGATTGCTCGTTGAAGGTGCAGCTCGCATAAATCATGCTTATCGCGATGAAAATTATGCGGCGCGAAGTACGTCGCGTGACAACGCGACTCGAGCGAGGTACGCTTATTAGACTGGTATACACGCGCGCACGCGACTACCACGCTTATGCGAACGATTGCACGTGCGCTCGGGTAAACGACCAATTTGTTCCTTACACGAATTTCATCGTTCTTGGGCAGGTTGGTCATTTCAGGTACAAAAAACCATTTCTTTCTTTTCCTTCTACGTTCGTGGAGGTTACAAAAAATCAGGTGTACTTTTATAGTAGATATCGCTGAGCTAAAAAAAGCATCAGCTTTTTATCATCAATCTTGTTTAAATTCTTTTAGGCTACTGAAAAGTGCAGCTTAAACTTAAGAGTAAAGAAAAGAATTTAGGTATATTAATGAAAGCTGTACGCGTGCCAATTTTTATAACGAAACCGATAAAGAAACCGCAGTTTCCAGCTAAGAGCACCAGACTGCCTCTCGTCTCTCTTCCAAGAATATCGCGGAAATCTTGCGGCGAGTGACTCGCGTTAACGTCGACTTTGCGCGTTTAAATTGTACTGCAAGGTCTGAGTCGGTCGTGATTCGCGATAGGTGTTCATCTTGCCCGCAAAGGAAACGGAAAATTCGAGGCCAGAAATGGAGTGGAAGGATAAACTCGCATTTTTCTCGTCCCCTCTGGTTCGCGGTCGTTTCGCAGATATATTATTCATGGGAAGAAACATGACGTGCCGCGCGGCCTTTCTCCATTGAAACAACGCCGATGACAGTGTCTCTCAAATTCTTTTATCGTGCAAAGGAAATCGATGCACTTCCAAATTCGTTATCATCATTCTTTTATCGCGATTAAATCGAACAATTGGAAGTAGGGTCGTAAATGGTCACATTTAATATAAATGCCTGAGAAGGATAGCACGTAATAATCAATGGTAATAAACACTTAAAATTTCGAGTTGCACGCCGAGTGCAATTCGCACGATCGATGTGTTTCATCCTCGTCGAGTTAATTATTCAGGAAATCGTTCAGAAAGTCCGTGAAAGGCCCACAAAACGGTGAAATCATAAAACCGCTGCTACAGAGGAGCACCAACTGACTTGTTTCGTAATAACTTTACTGTTAGTTCCATGGCGAGCGGTGTATTAGCCGTTGTTCCCCCGTGCCAACGGTCTTATGGTATCTCGGTTTTACTAGACCTTTCACAGACTTTCTAAACGATTTCCTGAATAATTAATTTGAAAATAGACCGGCATCCGCGGAAGTCGAAGATGAAACGTATCGATCGAGCGAGTCGTCCGAACATTCGGTCTTCGTTGAAGTAGAGTAAGTGAAAGATACACAATACTTTCCGAGAAAAAGTTTCTATATAACATAAGTAGAACATAAAGGAAACTAAATGGTAGATTAAAAGCCGTGTTACGAGAATGAAAGTTAATGGACAGGATATCCAGAGTCCAGATAAGTGTTAAAGGGAGATTTATGTTAACTTGTCGAATCGTGGGCTCGCTACGCGGCGATCGAGTACTTTTTACAGGAGAGTAAAGGTCTTTTAACCGCGAAATTTATGTTCTCATTTTTCCTCGCGATCGTCGCGCAACCCGTACTTACCGTTGCCTCGAAAAAATGATTGACGACAAACCACGAGCGAATGCGGAGACAGATGGATGCCGAGAGAATGACAGAGAAGGAGTCACACGACAGTGAAAGTATGTCACAGCCTCGAGGAAGCGCGTCCTCGAAGTTATCGGTTTTGCTAATCGACGAAAAAGAGAGGGCACCGCGAAATTCGACGGCACGATCCCTGCTTTTTTTCATCGGCTCTTTTTCGAGCCACGGATCAAACGTTCGCGTTTCACGCCAAATTTCACCCTTGAAAAGCAGAAGTTGTCCAGCACCAGTGCGTCTCAACCTTTCTAGCTGTTTCTCGACACAACGATTCCAATTTCTACTGGACACTAAGTACATGAAAATTTTCTGATTGCAGGACATGTCCGACGTGTGCGTTGGGACCAGCGTGGGGACCATAACCGAGCCAGAATGTTTAGGACCTTGCGAGCCCGGTACGTCCGTGACTCTCGAGGGGATCGTTTGGCACGAAACCGAAGGAGGTGAGTTTTAAGCGACACGTGGTGTATCGCGAAACGATCTTGCCATCGAGCCTGCGCCGTCGTACACGACACGTGATAGCGACGATGCGCAACACGAGCTCCAAGACTAATGGAGAGCATCGTGGAACTCGACGTAGATGAAAAACGAATGTCGAACGGCTGGCATACAGGCGAATAAGGTAGCTTGTCAGACAGCTATCGAAAGTAATATTGCCGTGGTCGTGGCTCGTCGACGCGTTAGAAATACGCCAAGCATTCTTCTCCTTCGTTTCCACTCCTGCTTCCTGCGTTTTCCTTCCTACAGTTCAGAGATTATAGCGACGCATAGTAGTCCTTGCGATTTGACTTGGATCAAAAAATAATTCCAGTAAACTATACATAAGTTTCCTTTGGCTTAATTATGCCAAGAGTTTAAGGAAGCCAAGGACCACCGTACCCCAGCATCAATCTCTTAAGGAACGACTCTGTCTTTCCCACGTGCTCAGAGCGATCGGTTTTGGTTGCAGGTGTGCTGGTGGTGAACGTAACGTGGCGAGGGAAGACGTACGTGGGCACGTTGCTGGATTGCACCCGTCACGACTGGGCGCCGCCGAGGTTCTGCGACTCCCCGACGAGCGATCTAGACGCTCGGACGCCGAAAGGACGCGGCAAGCGCGGCCGAGCAGCGGCGAACGCTACTCCTGGCAACGACTTGAGTAACTTCACGGAAACGAGGAGCTCGGTGCACAGCAAGTTGAGGAACGGAGGAGCGAAAGGACGCCGCGGAGCCCAAGGTTCGCCCGCGGCGAGTCCAAGTCCCGCAGCGTTCGTCCCTCCGCGGCCAGATCCAGCAGCGAAGCGGAAATCCCGTGGTCCGGAAGAGGAGGACAAGAACAAGAGACGCGCCCCGCCGCCGACGCCCCCGAGCGGATCCCCGCCGGCGAGTCCGGTGTTTCTCGAGTGTCCGGAACCGAATTGCAACAAAAAGTACAAACACATCAACGGACTGAAGTACCATCAGAGCCACGCGCACGGCTCCGCGGACGACGACGATACGAAGGAAGGTATCACGAGCATGTCCGAGAACGACGAGAGCAACATCGAGGCACCTAGTCCGGCGACGCCGGTCAAGTCGCCGGCAGACAAACCCGAGGGGACGCCTCTCAGGTCAGCCAGCCCCCAGACGACCAATCTACCACCCGAGACGCCTCCTCCGCCTTCGAGGGTCGCGTCGCCAGGGATAGAACCCACAGCGACTGTTCTCGCCTCCGACAAGAGCATCGTGAAACCAGGCGTGCTCAGATTCGGACAGGAAGACCTGCCCGCTCCGCCGTCGTCGATGCCCACCTCTGCGAGGCAACAGTCTGTGCAGCAGCAGCAGCAGCAGCAGCAACAGCAACAGCAACAACAACAGAATCAATCTTCGTTGAGCTGTTCAAACTCGCCGCAGTGCCCAAGCCCTCGACCCAGTCAGTCGCCGAGGCCTGTCCCGTCGCCTCATCCGAGCGCTGGCATCCCCCAGCCGTTGAACATCCCCCAACCGCCTCAGCCGTCCCAAATGTCGCAGCACCAACAACAGAACCCCCTTTTGCAACAGAGCCAACAGGCGTTGCAATCCGGGCAGCCGTCGTCCGCGCAGCAGCTTCAGTCGAGCCAACAATCTCAGCAGCTGCAATCGGCCGTTCAGCAACAACAGCAGCAGCTTTCGTCCGCGCATCAGCTCTCTGTGCAACACTCGCTGTCGGCGCAGCTCGGTCAACCGACGCCTGCCCACGTGGTACAGCAGCCCGGATTGCAGCAGCAACAGCAGCCCACGGGCTTGCAGAGTATCGCCAGCCAACATCCGGGTCTTCAAGGGCTTGGCGGTCAGGTGTCGCAGCAGGCAACGGGTTTGCAAGCGGCGCCGCCTCCGCAACCCGGCCATCCCAGCCAGGGTGTGCAATCGCATTTACAGCCGTACCAGAGCGTCTCGTTGCACGCGAAAATGCCGCAGTTCAAGGTTAAACCTACGGCAGCCCTCATGCCCGAGCAGGACAAGAGCAAAGATCCGCGAGCGTCGAAGCCGCAGGGTTACAAGAAGAAGTCGAGAAAATCGCCCGGTGGCAGCCCTCATCCGTCGCCGTTGGAGGCGCCCATCGTCGACTCCGCCAGGGAGGACGTTCAGAGTCCCGCCTATTCGGACATATCCGACGACGCCGCGCCCGTCCTTGAGGCGGAGCCTACCGACAAGTCCAAACAGAGCCAAGAGAAAGATGGCAAGGCTACCGCGGCTGCTCATCTACCGGCTCATTTCAGCATGTACCCTTACTACGGACAACCGCCTTACCTGGTGCCGAGCGTTCAAGAGAGCAAGCCTGTCGATCAGAAGCCCACCGATCTCGTCCCGAAGCAAGAGATGAAGCCGCTGAATATACCGCAGATGCCGACGATGGCCAGCTTGCAGAGCGTGGTGGCGGAGAAGGAGAAGAAGGAGCTGAGTCAATCGGTGCCGCAACCGCAGCAGCAACCCCATTATTACGGTGGTTACGGTGGTTACATGCCGCCGGGTTATCCGTATCAACCACCGCAGTCGGTTTCGCAGCAACAACAACAACAGCAGCAGCAACAACAACAGCAGAACCAGCAGGCGCAGGAGCAAGAAATGCACGAGCAAAAGCCGAAGATCAAGCAAGAGCCGCAGTCGCAGCAGGTCAGCTTGAAGGACAAGCAGCACGAGAATCACCAGATATTGAAGGAGAGCATCGAGATGAAGAGTCAGATGAGCCCGTACCACGTTTACCATAGTTCTCAGAGTCAAAGGGCGGCGCCACCGCCGCCGCCACCCGGTCCGATGCAGGACGATCGAAGGTATTACCTGTATCCTGGCGATCAGAGGCGAAAGGAAGAGTCGAGCAAGCAGAGTCAGCAAGCGAAACCGCCGCCACCGAGTCCGAAGCATCAGCCGAAGCAGGAGAAGCCGCAAGATCTTGGAAAGAACGAGGATTCGAAGATCAAGCAGGAGGGCGTCAAGCCTACGATGGAGACTCAGGGCCCGCCGCCGCCTACATCGCAATACGCCTACATTCATCCGAGTTACATGCAGCCGCAGCACTACGGCGCGCTGCCGTTCGACCCTAGCCATCCCGTTTATCGGGGACTCAGTCCGATGCTGGTCCCTGGACCGTACTCCGGTAATCCGTACCTCCATCAGCTGCCGAGGTATCACGCGCCGGAGGATCTGAGCAGGCCACCCGCAGGGAAAGCCTTGGATCTGCTTCAGCACCATGCCAATCAGTATTATTCGGCGCACAAGATACACGAGCTCCAGGAGCGTGCGCTCAAGTCCCCGACCCCGAAAACGTCCGCGGCCTCGGCGAGTCCGTCGTCGGCAGGGCCCACGCCTTCGCGACCACCTAGCGGGCCTCCTAGCTCGGTAGGAGGCGCGGGAGGAGGCGCAGGCCCAGGTCCACCGCAGCAACAAGGTCAGCAGTCCGCCAGCAAGCAGCAGAATCAACCCGGTGGCCAGCAGCCTCAGCAACAGTCGCCCGTCGACGCTGGGACCGGGACCTTGCCGAAAGACAATAGATCGCCGCCTCCCCAACGACACGTGCATACCCATCATCACACGCATGTGGGCCTAGGCTATCCCCTCCTCACCGGACAATACCCCGCTCCTTACGGAGGTAAGCCTCTCGTCAGGCCCTGACAGTAAGGCTCCCGGCACGACCCGATCGCGTCGCGGACCAACTCGAGACTTTAACTTTGACTCCTGGTCGAAGGGAACCAATGATCGCTGCCGCTCCCGCCCCCCGATCCCGCACTAGCACGCACATCCTTCTCGTTCTCGTTCCCTCTTCGAAGTTGTCGTCCCACGAGAAGGTCGATGAGAAGTTTCGAGGAACACGAGGACACTGGCGTCGTTCTGGCGGAATTGTCTCGTTGTTACACCCCCTGGGATTAGGCTCCCGGACGATTCTACACGATTTTAGCGTAACGATCGATTGACGATCCCGAACGCAAACTCGTCTAATCCGTTTATGTAAGTCTGATCGTTTAATCCACTGGTTCTTACCTACCAAGCTAATCGCACTGTGTTGCGACTGTCTGGCGATAAATTAGAGGAGGCGGAGACTGGAAGACGATTCTTAATCTTTATGGTCTGGGGCGCTATTTAAACGAGGGAAACGTGCCACAGTTTTTAATTGTGAATGATTAGAGTATTGATTTTAGGTGATACATATTTTCTATTTAAAAAATCACAAAGCAGACTGTAATGAATTTTGTCAATGTAATATCAGTGGTTGGAAGTAACCGTAATGTCAGATTTTGCTCTCTAAACAGCGCTACGAGCCCAGAAATTCGAAGAGTCTGCTTCTAACCTCTGCTGTGAACTGGAAAAGAGTAAGAACCATTGGCACACTCGTACGTACACCATATTGGTGCATGCGGAATACGAAGGTAAATCCCAAGTCGAGAAGAACGAGAAAGATGTTGCGACAGACCTTCTTCCCGCGACTCCACCTCTTCGACGAGAGGGGAACGTCGAACCCCGCGCGAGATTTATCGTCGAGACGCTTCGGTCGTCTTACGTATCCCCCTTCCTTTTCCCGTTTTTTCTTCGCACTTTTTGTAACGAGAAAACGCTGAATTCGACGCGTCGACGCGGTGCGGGACGTCTCGAGCGAGCAACGATTTCGACGATGAAATGAAACACGTGTAAATAGTTTTTATCGAACGTACAGTTTTGACGATAAACGGTGAAGGACAACGGCGAAATCGCGTATACTGCGTTTAGCTGCGCCAGCGAATTGCGAGAGCTGCATTTTTTAACGAATACACGCGCGATAATAGGTTCGTAACATATATATGTAAATACACGTTTAGACGATTCGTTACTTAATCTACGGACTGAATATTTTGGAGATATCGGAGCGTGTGTACGACAGTTAAGAATAGGTACGTAAGTCGCGTCCTGTCTGCCACGAGGCTCGTAGGATGCATAGTTAGACGTATAGTTCAGACTGTGATAATTGCTAATCGTCGTGCTCGTTTCCGGCACGAGAAGACGACGAGAACCGGTTCGAATCGGAAGAAATTTCGCGCCTCGCGCCGATTGCGCTCCTGAGGGGTGCTTCTACTAACAGGATACGGGGAACACCCGATAAACTATCTCTATTTGACGACACCCACCCGAAGGGTTGCCAACGAACAGCGAGAGGCATATAAAAATGAATCATGGTAAGAATTTAGTGCTTCTTATTCTTAGGAAGTAATGAAACTGAGAGACGATGGCTAATATGGACCTGTTTGGTAGTTAGTCTGTCGTAAATTGTACATGTATAATATAAATATATAAAATATGATATATCGAGGTAAACATGCTGGCATCTTAACGAATGGTTCATGTTAGACCAGCTACCAAATGACTCGATAGCTATCCTATCGTTCTCTACGTTGCTTATCTCTGAACAACGAGAAAGACTGGATTCTTGCCACTATAAGTTGCGTTATAGCTCTCGAATACTTTACCATTTTATCAGGGAAAGGTAGAAAGATCTGAAAGGACGGTTGGCAAATCCTATGCCCATCATCGACGATCGAGACAGCGTCGATCGGGTTCGCGATCGATAGAGCGCACTTTTCAACGTTGAAACGGAGGACGAGCTGGGTAGACGCAATCTCGTCGCCTTTGGTAGTCTTCCACGAGAGTTTTCTTTCGTTTGAGGAAAAGGGCGAATGGCGGAGAAGACGAAGAAAGGCCTTGCGTCGCACAAAAAAAGAAAAACATCAAACACAGCTTTTCTTCCGTTTCTGCATTTCCCCAAGTTTCCTCGCCCGGTCTCGGTGAACGTTCTTTCACCCTTCGACGAATACGACAAGATTCACTCGGAAAGAACTAATATGCCAATCCGAGCACGAATCAGAGTTGGGCAAAGTTTTATTCGAACAATGCATAACGGATGAAATGAAACAGCGATTTAGGTGATCGAATAGTTACCTCGGATACGTTTTTTTCTCGTCGGACATTAGGCGCGTGGTAATTGTCCTGTTTGTTGGTTTTGACAAGGTACAAATCAAACCTCGATAATTCTATGTTTTATTCGACCAGTCCTGAATGGAAGCTCGTGTTTTACTTGTTATTCGACCCTCCAAATTAGAATTTTGCCCATCTCTGGCACGAAACTTACATAGTTGCCACTGCCAGGATGTCCACGGAAATGGAATCCGATCGCGCGTAAACGAAAGTAAAACGCACTTAAAGAGATGTCTTTGAATATCTCTTCGCTACAGGATTTTCCTCTTTACACGATCGTAGTCTTTTTAGGAGGTAACCAGACGACGCTCTCGCGAAGAATAGTCTGTTGGCTCGCGTTCGCGTTGTTTATCCGAGGTAAACGAACTCGTCGAGAATTCGAATCTCGTTGCTCGGCTTTTGCTGGTTGCTCGACCATCCCGCGCGATCGGTATTCCGCGATCGGTATTCCGCGATCGAGGAAACGATTGGGAAACGCGTGAAAGAATCATCGTCGAGCAGGATCTGTTTTAGACTTCATACCTACGTCGACCTTTGCACGACTCTTTCCTTCCCCGTCGGACCCTTCCTTCCTGCACAAACATCGCATACAATATTTTTTGGGCGAAGTTTGTCGAATGCCTCAGTGAACAGCCTGTACAAATCAACTCATACACGCAGAGGTTTATCGGAGGTTTACCCGTGGCTTTACTATTCAATCGACGAATTGCATGTTTTCTCTTATTTTTCACTCAGCAGCTTTTAGATAAAGCGATCGCTAACCATACAAAGTAATGAACTTTCCAGTGCACTTGCAATTTTTCACCACATATATTTGTCAATAACTGTGATCTAGTTATTTCACCCACTCAAGATGAAATTACGATCGAACGAACTGTTTTCTGGGGGCGAGTGGCTCACCCCACATGGCTATCAGAGTGGTAAACATCCCCTAAACCTCGACCGTGTACGAGCATGATGCACGCGAAGGTTTATCAGAGATTTTACCTGGAGGTTTGATCGACCATCTTTCTCACTGATCTTTAGAATTGTGGTCGTTGAGACCTGCGGGTAAACCTCCAATTGAGCCGTTCATTGCGAAAGCGGTGTAAGTCCATCTTCCTTTGTATCGAGTATAACGTTAATATAAAACCATAAGATCGTTCCTGTTCGCAAGTTTACACCATTTTCATAACAAATATTTTCCCCATTCCGTTTAGCAACAGTGGGGCCTTTTTACAAACAACATCGTCGTGTTTCAAAGCTTCCCTTTCAGAAACTCCGTTTAAAAAACAAATGGACTTGCGTCATTTTTAGAACGAACGGCACGATGAATCACCATCGCGTATGGGTCGCCTGTGCCTTTACTTCTGCGCTAAACGCTTCTCAACCATCGTTCTCCCTTTCCCGTTGCTTCCACTCGCTTTAATTCTTATCCGAAATTACTCGTTCCCCCGCGATACTTGGGCTGGAGTGGCAGGGAATCGTCGACGGCGGTTTTCGAACCGTGAAACTCGCGACGATGGACCTTTTCATCGAACGCTCGCTTTTCGATGGAATTCCGAGGACCTTTCGACGAGAGATGGGCAAAATTCTCGTCTGAACAAAACACAAACCGTTGATTCGCTATTCGCCGAGAAAAAAATAACACTCTGAATTATACGATCAAATTATGTTTGATGAATAGTATAAGAAAAAATGATGGAACCTTTGGTCGAGTTGAGCATTTCATTTGATATACCTTCGGTACATTTGAGAAATCCAAGAGAGACATTACACTCGTACTAATTTTTCTCGCAACTTTTCCATCCATTTTCCGTTTTCATTATTAATACTGTACGTGTGCATTTATAGTCTAGTGTATATATGTCCCAAGAAGGCTCGCAAGAAGAGGAACATTGTAATATAGAAGCCTGATACATTTTTCGCACTCAAAGAATATTTTAGATTTTTTTTATATGTACCAAAGGTGACAGAAATGCTTGACTCGATCAAAAGATCTACAAGAATTGCTATTACATGAATACAATTCTGCCCAACTCTGCGTTCGACGGGTCGCGTGCGCATTAAAGCAACTATCGGAGAAAACGAATTAATGGGTCGGTATGTGTGTGTGTTGCAGCGGCAATGCTGGCGAGTCAGCAGGCCGCCGCGGTAGCCGCATCGGTGATCTCGCCATTTCCGCCCAAGTGACCCGCGGCCCCCGGTCCCGTACTAGCTGCCGGAACGACCGGACCTACCTCCGCACAAACTCACCACACGCCTCATCATCCGCCGTCGGTCAGCGCCGCGACCGCTGCGGGACATCCGCACTCTGCCTCCGGTGGCAGGCAATCCTAGGATGGCAGAGCAAGCGATGCTACTAATTCGAGCCTGCTACCTCTTCGTTAACGCATCCACGACGCTCGATGGCCATCGCCCACCCATCTGTCAACGTTCGCCAGCCTACGAGTGTTACCGGCCTTCAGCCCTAGCCTGCCTGGACAAGCGTCTTCGACCACAGATTCCTTCGTCTCGCGATCAGGACACAAAGCAGAACGACGCGTTAGCAATCGACGAGAATCAGAGACGGGCAAGATTTTTATGTATAAGAAAATATCGAATAACGAGTCAAAGACAGGCTCCCTTTCGTCGGGCACTTGGTAAATGGTATTTAGGATTCGAGCGAGTAACGAAATATTCGAAACAAATCAAAACTTAATCGTTCTGTGTATCTCGGTTGATCAACATTTTGCCCATCTCTGAACGAAACGAGACTCCAAGAAGCGTGAGGAAAAAGACTCGCCCAATCGTTTCCACGATCCTTAGTAATAGGTAAAAGAGGAGGGTTTCCGTGTGCAAAGATGGCGCCAGGACTATGCCAGATTAATACTAGTTTATGTTCCTCCAATTGTTTTAAAGCGATATAGAATTTTTGGATCAAATTAACCGTATTCGTTAGATTCTCCTAAGAAGCATGTACTTTCAATTCAATCTCCACCAAACACTTTTCTCAATGATCACTTTCATTTCCGTTTAAATTACAGTATACCTGCCCTGGCGTCAATGATCTTTACATGTGACAACTCTGCGTAACTCTAGGTGCCCTCTTGAGAATTCTACTCTCAACAGTCGCTATTAAATGATATGCCTGATGTCGGCTAGAGAGTCTTGCTCTTGAGAGTCTCTGTCAAGAGTGGGACAATCTGGTAGACATAGCATTCAGAGTAAAGATTCTTTCACACGAGTGACGAGGTAACTTCCAATGTACCGCCTAGGAAGCAGCGTTGGGCAAAACGCGATCGACGATCGTGATTAACGATTAACGAATCAGCAATCATGGTCGATGATCAAGACACGACTGGCCCTGAAGAAAATTACAAATCGCTGATTTATGATCACCGATTAATCTGACGCTATTAATCTGATAAGGGATTACTATAATACCACTGGTGATCAGTGCCCAACTCTGCTAGGACCGGAGATCTTCGCCCGCGCCACGAACCAATTAAATTCTTCTCGAAGCAACGTTTTTATCGCACGTAGAAACTTAGGTGAGCGTGTGGGAATGGGAAAACGACGCGGAGGATGAACAGGAAACAAACGTGTGCGTGTGTGTATGTTTGCGTGCGCGTGCGTGTGTGCGCGTGTCTCGCTCGCGTGTGTAACGGTGACATTATAGATCGTTGTATTTTATTGTAAAAAGTGAAAAAATTGCGTGATACCGCAAGACTCGACTTTTTTCTAGAGAAATTATGTGTGTATGCGTAAGAAACACCACGGACGGACGACACGATTCTTAGAGACAATTTCATTGCCTATCCGTGTACGTGTCGGTAACGATATCAAAGCAAAAATATTTAAAAACGAAAAAAAATGAAAAAAAGAGTAAAGAGAAGAAAACGAAGTGGGGGAGAGTAAGGGAGAGAGACTAAAAAAAAAAATATGGAGGTACTTGTCTCGTAGGACAATGTAAGCGAGAAAGGAAAATCAGGATTCTAAATAACGATTAAACGCGGCGGTAGGTAATTGTACATTGAATACGCTAGAATGCTATTTGTTTACTAAAAATAACAGTAGGTAGTGGTGTGCGAATATAGCCGAGAGAAAGAGAGATTGTGTATGCGTGCTTTGCGTGCATGTGTGAGAGAGAGAAACGAGCGGCAAGACAAAACGGATAAGACTATTTAACGAGAAAAGGGAAGAAAAAAAGCTATTAGGTATACATACTAATGCCGCCGTGGTACACGCGCATAGTATCCTGACGACTACCTAACGTTAGTTCAGTAACGATTATTATCATTGTATCTTTTATTACGATTATTCATTAATAATTATCGGTTACATTATTTTATTATCGTATCGATGAAGAGATATGGAAAGCGTGGTACGAACGATTTTTGTGGGAAACGCGTTGCCAAGGAATCCGAGAAAATAGTTTTATCGTGCCGTGCATAGTGTTGCAAAATGCCAAATAAAACGGGAAAAAAAAATATGAGCAAGGCGTGGTTATTTTTAATTCGTGTAACAATGGGCGAATTCGTTTGGGCGAGCGCGCAGAGAGAAACGCGGGATTAAATGATCGTCCTCAGTTTTAATGAGGCGTTCGGATGGAGAAACGGGCAGGCTTTAAAGTAAAAAATGCTGGTGCTGTGCTGTGATTTTTATAAAAAAAAAAAAAAAACAAACGAGACGCGAACAGAGAGATAGAGAAGGAAAAAGAGAGAAAGTGTAAGAGAAGACGAACGATCTTGACGAATTTTTGTGAAAATATGCAGATAGCCTAAGTACCTGGACCTGCCCCGCGCTCTCCGCGAAAAAAAAAACGTAAAACTCGTGTAGAAACAATGAGACGGAGAGAAAAACCGAGAGAAAAAAAAATGAAAAAAAGGACACGGAGAACGATGTTATACGAATTGTATAGGCTGTAAAGTGTATTTGCTTTTAAACGAAATTTAATATAGAGATCGTTAATCGCTAATTACGCGAGGAAAAGGAGCTGTCTCCAATCGTCGATTGCTATAGACGTTCATTCGTAGTTTCGCTAACTCGATTCCAGTGTAATCCTATAGCTAAATTTCGTCTTAAAAGGCTTGGGCAATTTAGCTGCGACTCTCTCTCTCTCTCTCTTTGAGTCGAAATCCACTGCGGTCGCGAACGACAAACTTTTCGAGCCAAGGTACTTGTTTCATTTCTCAGGTCCCTTTTGTCCAGTCACTCGTATTAATTTGACTCCCTGCAGGCGTAAATAAGTGGAATAAACGATTGGAGACAACTTCCGGACTAAGGATATACTCTAGCGAGTACTACGTATTTGCCACGATGTTGCATAATTAATTGCGAAAATCCTCGGAACGAGTAAACTAAACGACAACATATGGCGGACTGAAATATAAACGTAACGTAATAAACAAGGACCCGTATTCTCGTTTCCTTATTTTTTTTATTTTTTTTTTTGAAATTTTTTTTTTTTTTTTTTTTTTTATAGAATGATAAAAATAGTGAGTCGTTGCGCTTTATATATTATACACTTCGAATATATGAATATACGAGTAACAGTTACGTACAGAAAGCAAGTACAGAAACGCAGGCATCTTGTCGTTAAATTGTAAGATATTGTGTTCAAACTCCAGAATGTACTCTGAATCCCCTTCCTCGGACTATTATATATTAAATATATTGTGCACTATGCTCCTCCAACTTGTCCATACGAATAAATATATTGAAAAATCTCACTATACGGTATACTCGATCGTTGCTGTGACGCGTTCGTGTCCTCTCGAATTTGTGCCTCTTTTGTAGCACACACGAGGTCCTGTATCTACATTAGAATACTTGAACATATCACGTGTGGGTCGTGTGTCGTATGGAAAAGCTCCTTAGAAAAAAGTTACATCGTTTCAAAGGATACATGTAGAAATAGAGAACATTTTGATGATGTTTTAAGGTGATTAAAAGGTAAAAGGTAAAGTTTATTCTCGTAGGTTATGTTTGTATACAAATCGTTCGTGGCGCCAACTGAAGTCTTGCAATAATGCCATCTAATTATATATACGTGAACTTGTGTGAACTATTTATCGACATACGAACGTTTACCAGCCGAAGGGACTGATCAAAGGTCAATAGTTTGACTTCTTCATCGTTAGATGGCAGTCCATTGTTTATAAATATATTGTTTACCAATTTAAAGATTGAACAATTAATTGTTAAATGTGATAATAGCATTTTACGATGAAACATGAATTTCTATTCGCGTAATTGATCCATAACAAATGTCATAAAATTAACATTTTCAGTAACATTTTAAATTTCATTATTTTGATTTTATAATATTTTTATGAATATTTATTATTTTGAAAGCGACAAGCTGTATCTTTCGCGAATAGTAAAAATTTATAGACCCATGTGTACATTTTAGCAGTGTATTGTAATGTATAGGTTATGTTTATGACCTAAATATTTGTTTTCGTTAAATTGTCGTTGATTCAGTTACTTTCAGAAAAAAATTAAACCAAGGCCATTGTCCGAAAAAAAATGGATGAAATAGAATATAAATTGGAATCGTCAAATCCTGTTTTGATATCACACGTGAGTTGCTTATCTTATATAAACTCAAAGAGGTTATCTTTATTGTATTTATACCTCTTCTACAGGCAATATCTAAACTCTATGATTCAATCAAGAAAAAAAGAAACGATGAATCAACAGTCATCATTACAAATGTAATAAATTTTAATTCTGGACATTATCCTACTGTCAATTTCATTTTTGTGTTCTATTAATCGTATTGCTTTCAATAGTTAGCAGAATTTAAACTACTATCAACCAAGTGCAATAGCACAGACACCACGCTTAGTTTATCTGCTTGTCAAGCCTTGATCATGCTAGTTGAGAATGGATTATGGGACATTAGCGATGCACTGTCCACTTTTACGTCGAATCTTTCTTCTATAAAGTATATAAACATTAGTATGGATATCCCTTAACATATTCCACTATATAACAAGTGTATTATATATTTTAGAAATTACACAGTTGCTGCTATGGCTATCAGTCATTTATTAATGTTAGATCTCAGGCATAACATGGAAAAAAAAACTTTATATCCATTTACTCTTCATGTACCGCAACATCCTTTCATAATTATTTTAAATCGAGATAAACATAGTTGGCAAACTGTATTAAATCAAATAACACTTTTTATGAATCACAAGGATCCACGGTATGTACTAAATATATATTAGTACTCAATATATGTGTATATATGTATATATTAAAGATCTAAGTATTTCAGAATTAGAGAAAACAGCACAGAAGTGTTACGTCCTATATTTCTGTATATTCTATGTAATCCGTCTTTGAATTCACTGGATTGCTGTGTGCAACCAGTTTGGCAGCTTTTAATTAAGTCAAAACATGGCATGTACTTGTGGACAGAAGTTTTGCTCTGGTCATGTACAAGTAATATTTATACTTGTATTAATACAAATAACAGAATGTTAAAATTCGCTGAAAAAGCACTATTAGAGAAGGATACAGAATATTGCACTGCTTTATTGCCAGTGATTGCAGCTATGACTCTACAACTAATACATTACAGATCCGATCCAGGACCAAATTTTGACTCATTGTCTGTTATTATAAATCTATGCAATCCTCACATAGGAAGTCTTATGTTAGCATTAATGGCAGAGATAATTGATATATGTCCAGCTATTTACTTGTACAGAGCTTTACAAATATGTAAGTGATTTAAATTTAAAAAGGAACTTAATGTGCCTGTTTGCCTCTTAAACGTTTATCAAATCCTGTTACAGGTACAATAATAGCAACCAAAATGTCATACAACGATATATTTTTTAATACTTTAAAGGCATCCATTTTAAAATGGATGGCATATCCATCAGTATTATGTTCTAGTGGTTTAGATATGGCAGCTAATTTAACTAGTCGAACTTTTGCTAATACTCAGTTCGCGGATAACGATGATGCTCTTTTCATGAGTAAAATTTTCGAAGCGTTTACTTTTTCCAACTCTTACGTTCAATTTTACGTTGATATCGTGCGTTGTATAAATGTCTGGAAACCGTGTGATATCTTATCGTGGTCAAAGAACATGTCGCGCGCGCCCATTGATTTAAAAAGTAAATGTAAATTATTATTATCCGGCCTCTTTTTACAAACAAACGATCCACAAGTAGCCGAACTATGTTGTAACATACTCATCGATGTTAGAAATGAAACAAAAAATTTCGAATCGCACTTATTGTCTTTAGTTTTGCATAAATTGACTAAGTGCAAGAGCAGTACAGAATCCAAGTATTTACTACTCGTCGTGCCAGAACTTATAACTATGACAGAAAACATTCCAATTGTTACTCATACATTGGACACGTTATTAAGCGGTGAAAATCAGTTGAAATATTTCACGATCGAGTTATATCTAAAGGCATTGAAAAACCAACCAAAATGTTACAGATTCGTTTCAGCCGCGATAATCCGTTTAATGAAAAACGATCGTTCTTGGTATGCGAGTGCAACCTGTGCAAGAGCTATGAAATATATTTGCGAGAATCATCCTGAACACGGAGAAGCTTTGGTGCCCTTGCTATCGCAGATATTAAATCGTTCCACAGATACGAACGGTGGAACCGCAAGCGCCCTTGCACTTGAAAGTATTTCTGCTCTTTGCAACGCTTCCGTAACAGACATTCTTTCAACGTGGAAGGTGCTGGCCCCGAAAATGGAAAAAGAGAAACGAACTATTGTCTTAGAAAGTCTTTGCAAACTATTCGGCGATATTACATCGTATCCGTCTTCTGGATCCGTCGAGGAGTATGATCAATTCATAGTTGATATTATATCAAATTTATGGAAATACGTGATGTACAACGATGTGAGAGTCGTTGAATCTGCGCTTGGCGCGTTAAGATTCTATCACCTGGAGCATATTCCTTTAAAAACATTACCAGAAGAATTTCGATCTCAACTTGTATTACCTGCTGCATACGCTGGCAGTTCAACCGAGGAAGCTAAGAAACCGGAAGACATACTTCCGTACATACCTGGTAGTTGTTGGATCGCAATGCTTCAGAAAATAAATAAATCGGCTCTATCGGCAGCTGGAGATCTTTTAATTTCTTTCGCGACCGAAGAAGTTAACAGTTTCCGATCTGGAATTTACGTTTGGCCACAAGGAGAGCCGCGTAATTACAAATATTTGCCAGAAAGAAGCGTAATAAGAACCATTGGTGAATATTTGAGACGTAGCGACAAATCCAATCCCAACAATCACCGTATCATCACAGAATGCTTGCGAATATTCGCTCATAGATATCCCAAGCCATTGCCAAATATAAATTGGATCTTCCTCGACGATACTATTGATATATCACCTGAAGCTAAAAAATATGCCCTTTCCATCGGATGCCATCAGGCAAAAATATCTTTGTCTGCCAAAACTTTCATACAAAATTATCTATTAACATACAAGTCTGTCACTGATTCGAATCTCATCTTGAAAAACAACGAGTATCTCACTTTGTATACGAGTTTCGAAGACTTGTGTCAAGCCATACAACCAAATAACATAAAACTATTTTTGGAAACCACATTAGAATACGTAGTCGACAAAATGAGTTGCGATGATGAAAATTCGATAAATTCGTTCCATTGTATTATGTCGTCGTATGCTCGAACCTTAAACAACGAAGAAGTACACCACGGCATCGCTACGCTACTTTCTAATCTTCTGGAAACGCTTTTAGACAAAATAGATTTAACACGCAACCGTTTCAAGTCCTCTTTTATTGCAGTTTTAAAACTACCGAAAAATCATTTAGAAAAAATAACATCTCCGAAAGTATGGTGGGATGTGACACATAATAAATTAAAAAATGCCATCGCTATCAGAGCCGAGCTGGCTCTAGAGAAACGTTTCGAATCTCTCTTAATGTGGTTGAACGAATTCATTGACGATCCTGTATTTATACCAAGGTGAGATTGCTATTAGATGTCGTAATTTAGCCACAAAAATTATACAAGTAACAATGAACTTTATTATTTTTATCAAAGCATCCAAACATATTTTCTCGAGACTATACAGAGAGTGCTAACTGAATTGCAATTTGAGAAATTCACCGCAGATTGGATTGTAGACTTTATGACTCAGATTCAAGGACTGTTGGTGGAATCATTGCAAGATCACAGTACCAAAATACAATTTTATTGTAGGGTTTTATTTGTGTCTGTTGTCAGTCTGTCTGGCATAGACTGTATGTTAATGAAACAAGACTTAATAATTACATCGCAAAACGTACAAGCGCAACTATTTCCTCAAGCTCTCGCGATCCTTTCAGACAGACATCATTGGAAACATGCAGTTCCACAGGTATTTACAATCATTTTTATTCATACATGATACAGGTATACATTTGATAATACTTGTAACACCTCCGCAAAAGTAACAAATCTATTTTTTTAAACATTTCAGATCATGGAATGGTTAAACGACATGAGGATAAGTACTATTTTTAATACGTATAAATGTACATTTCACCGTTCGTTAATTTGCTTGAGACACAATCCATACTACAAAAGTGTATGGACTAAATACTTATCAGTTAAGACTGAGGTTGAAGTATAATTATATATTATACATGACAGAAGCAAACAACTTTTACAATAATAGTTCCATTTGCAATAATTGTAACTGTAACATATTCAATGTAAAACAAGATTATATTTGAGCAATATGTAATGTGTTATTTGAAAAATGGAAATGTATTTCACTTACATGCATTGTCATATGACATTTACTGGCAGTAATGAATAAATATGTTGTCAGGTCGTCACATATGTTGTATGTGACAATTTTCATAATGCTAAACAGATGTTTCACTATTGTCCAGAGCCATAACTGTCAATGTATTGGGGCGTGTTCCTGTTAATGTTTGGTCTTCTGGCAATTTCATTCGGGGTTCTAATATATTCCTTTTTGTTTCAACATTTTTTTTTATGGGTGTCCGACTTGGACTAGATTTTCTACTACTTGGATAAGATTTCAATAAACGAGCTCTAAAAAAAAGAATAAAATTCAAACTCTTTTTAAATCCCCTTGAAATTTAGGACAGTGATACTTACGCATCCATTAATTTAAGAAACAAGCGTGTATATACTTGATACTCCTCATCCCCAAATTCTGTTGGATCATGTCTGGCATGTTCATACAAATCGCAAAATTGATGAATCAATCTTTGTCCATTTCCATTCAATGGAGTAGCTAATGTAGAAAGCAGATATGCCCTCAAATTTTCAGATGGATGTCTTTTCAGACAATTATCATATTTACTGATTTCAGCCTCTATGCAAACAACGCACAAAAAAAACTGATTAAGCTTGAAATTTTATCGAAATAAATTTATAAACGTAGTTACCCAAAGTTTTGACATCATCCACTACTTTCAGTCTATAATAATGCGGTGGAACTTGTGCTTTAGGTGTAACGATAAATCTTGGATCGCTAATGAGCTGTGGTTCATATTGAATTCTTGGTATTACTTCTATTCGCCTCTCGATTTCCTTCTTAAGTGACTAAATAATTAAAAGCATATTATTAGTTGTGACAGCGATATAACCTTCGCGAGCAATCGTACCTTTATTGCATCATGTCCAATAGGAATATGAGGACCACGACGCGATCGTAAGGCAAATCTCATAATTTGACGTTTTGCAAAAATGAAAAGCAATAATATTGTTAATACTCCAGCTGCAATAAATACTACTATTGTCACGCTAGACAGTTCTTCAGTCATGTTTATGTTGCATACATGTGACCATTTTATAGAGTCGAGTTAGCCTCTATCGGCAAGAAGAGAAATCAAACCGCGCAGTGAATAGCAATCGCTTTGAAAAACGGCGAAGTCATTTCGTGCTTTTAATAATTACAACTGTTTTTAGAAAGTTCAAACAATGACAACGAGATATGATAGGGCTATTACGGTATTTTCACCGGATGGGCATTTGCTTCAGGTGGAATACGCTCAGGAGGCTGTGAGGAAAGGTTCTACAGCGGTACGTTGACAAATTTCATCTAACCTCTTTCACTTTTGCGGTAAATTTGATACAACACTTTGTGTACATCTTGCGTTAAACACCACTTTTTCATACCATATCTTATAATAATATAATATTCTATTGTTCATTCTATTCTCATGCTCTTTTCTAACCTGAATTTAATACATTCAAGGTACAATACTTCGAAATGAAATGACTTTAACATTTCGTAATACAAACGCTAACTCGTTACAGACTAATATCGTTGTAATTTGATATGATTTCAGGTGGGTGTTCGTGGTAACGATGTAGTTGTTTTAGGAGTTGAAAAGAAATCTATCGCGAAACTACAAGAAGAACGTACCGTTCGTAAGATATGTCTCCTAGACGAGCATGTTGTAATGGCATTCGCAGGTTCGATTTTATATAATTTCATTCAAATTCAATTACCAAATGCTCTGTGAACATATTATATATTAACACATAGTACTTTTTTGTTTCTCAAGGTTTGACTGCAGATGCAAGAGTCTTAATAAATCGGGCTCAAGTCGAATGTCAAAGTCATAGATTAACCGTAGAAGATCCTGTTACCTTGGAATACATCACCAGGTATATTGCAGGTAGGAGAATATCTTTAATTAATTATAAAATGTCTGAAAATGTGATTACAAAATCTATATATAAATTCAGGTTTAAAACAAAAGTATACTCAAAGTAATGGTAGGAGACCCTTTGGAATATCATGTCTCCTAGCTGGATTTGATTACGATGGAGTTCCACACTTGTATCAAACAGAGCCTTCAGGAATTTATTACGAATGGAAGGTACATTTCGTACATGGTATTCTTTAGTTATAGAAGAAGAGAAAATTAACATGTTTCTTCTTTTAAAGGCAAATGCGACAGGTCGAAGTGCCAAAACTGTACACGAGTTTTTACAAAAATATTATACAGTAGAGGAAGTAGCAACTGAAAAGGGTTCTATAAAATTAGCTATTAGAGCTTTACTGGAAGTAGTACAGTCTGGACAAAAAAATTTAGAAATCGCCGTGATGCGCCGCGGTCAACCTCTACAGGTATGAATTCCATAGCATAAGAGTGTCAAAGCAATAATATATCCTCTAACATTTTTTTACTACAGATGCTGGATTCAGATACCATCGAAGAATATGTAACAGAAATTGAGAAGGAGAAGGAAGCAGAAGCTGAGAAAAAGAAGCAGAAAAAGTGATGTCTTTATATCGAATTACACTTTTATTATTCATTTATTGATGTTTCACATAAAATAAATATGCAACACATAGGTAAAGATAACGAATAAAATTTTCAGATTTCTTTTATTTATACTTTACTGCCATGTCCATAGAAAGTATATGTACATTTACATATATTTTTAAATATATGATTTAAAATTCAAATTATATTGGTGAAGTTGTTTTTACCTGTATACATGATTTTGTGATTTATGTGGAATATATTGCGAAGTGTATCAAATTTATTAATCCTCGAAAAATTGCATTGATATTACATCTTTTTTAACATTAATTTAGCATAACCTTATTGTCGAAGAAAAAAATGTCTTCCGCGATGATTGAATATTTGAAATGATGGAAAATTTCGCAGAGTTTCCCAAGACTTATTTTCCAAATCAACCACAGCTCGAATTTCTTTGAAATCGCCAGCTATATACATTACTCCGTACATAACCATAAATAAGCTGACAATGCCCTGTATTAAAATCTGGAACATGCACATCACTTGTTTGTACATTATACACATTTTAATTGTATTAACATTTGATACTTACATCGATCGGTAGAGTGGTAAATTCTTGTTCCGTTATTCGCAAGTATGAACGATCTGTAAAAAATAGTACATTTGACGCAGCAATTCCAACAGAAACATTGGAATAACTTAACCTAAAATATATCGATTTAAAATAGACGAAATCTTAAATAAACAAGTGATACGCACGTTGCGCAGCAGAATAGGCCGCATGTAGTATTGAAAGTAATCCTATGAATGTTATAAACTTATGCAAAGCTGTTGCAGGCATTGTAATTGTTATGACAGTAACAAATTCAGTAACGATGGCAGTAACGATTTAGTTCCTATACAAATAAGACTCGTTTTCATATAGACAATGATAACAGTGCATTCAGGAATGTGTATTCAATTAATAATATGTTCAGTAATCAATGAAGAATAACAAGGATAGATTAGGAGAGAGTACAATCGTACAAAGTATTTATATGATACACCTCGATATACACGTTTCGATAATGAATTTTTTCTTTTATGTTATTCGCCCATCTAACAGCCAACACCTCGAAGCTCAATTGGGTGAGACGCGAGAGAATAGGCTACGCGCATACTCCTACCGCATTGTTTATCATTTATTAATGGTATTGAATGGTATCAGAATATGTTCATAGATAACATGAACAATTCCGCATCTGTTTAAAAGTATTATAAGCATAATTACAACATGCTATATATCTAGTATATGCGGAAAAATTAATTATTATAATGTTATAGTTTGAATATTCCCGCGCATTCACTTAGGATGTTTCATTTCTCTTTCATGTTATTAGCCACCTGGCGGTGAATTACCTGAACTAACCTTTGGAGTTTGGTCAGCGCCTCTATCGGGAAAACGCTCAAGTTTGTCCTCGATAGTTTCTTTTTCTACTGCTAGATGGCGCCATTTGTTCTAATGATTTACCGACAGGCGTTAATAGGATAAATAGCGCCATCTAGCAGTAGAAAAAGAAACTATCGAGGACAAACTTGAGC